ATTTTTATTACCTAGATAGTTACATTGTCTATATTATATATGGTTCTTAAATGAACTATTCTGAGATAGACTGGTTGTTAATGTAGCGTCCATATACAATCACCGGCCACTTTATATTAGGTACATCTGTTCAATTGTTTAGTAACACAAATTGCTAATCAGCCAATCACATGGCAGCAACTGAATATATTTAGGCATCTAGTTGGGGTGAAGACGACTTGCTGAAGTTCAAACCGAGCATCAGAATAAAGAAGAAAAGGTATTTAAGTGATTTTGAACATGGCATGGTTGTAGGTGCCAGACGGGCTGATCTGCTGGGATTTTCACGCACAACCATCCCTAGGGTTTACAGAGAAAAAGAGAAAATATCCAGTGAGCATCACTTGTGTGGACAAAAATGCCTTGCTTTGGAAAAACGTTGCCTGATCTGACGAGTTTCAATTTCAGCTGTGACATTCAGATGGTAGTGTCAGAATTTGGCGCAAACAACATGAAAGCATGGATCCATCCTGCCTTGTATCAATGGTTCAGGTTGGTGGTGGTGTAATGGTGTTGGGGATATTTTCTTGGCACTAGCAAGGTGGACCTAATAAAGTGGCTGATGAGTGTAAACTGACCCTTTAACTTCAAGTCTACACAGTACTATACATGGCTGGTAATTTTGAAATACTAGTAGAGAAGAAAAGCAGGGATGTCCCTAAAATACATCAAATGAAATGTCTATTTGCATTTGCAAACATCACTAAAGTGAATAACCATTTGCTGCCGCCTCCCAGAAGCATTTTAAATGTGCGTTCACAGCAGTCGGCACAGACAGCTTCTTAATCACATGATCTGTGTAACTGGCTTCCATAACGGTCATTTGATCATCAGCCCATCCTGCTGGCTCCCAATAACAAGCAGAAGCCTGGAGCTGTCAGTGACAGCTCAGTCAATGTGCTGGGAGCAAGAAGTGAGCAAGCTTGAAAGCTTGTGCGAAGGCTGGGCATTAAGAGCTACCCACCTTGCTGCTGCATATTTATGTATCACGGTGAAAGAGGTTAAAAGAGAAATAAATTCTGCCTCTGTAATTGCATGAATAAGTATAATTTGTTTATTACATACTGAATGTACAATATACTGTAAATGTAAAGTTCAGTGTAAATTGCAATAAATGAATAAATATTAATAACTATCTGTATTTTTCTTCTGAAATCATGGCAGTGTGACTAGGGGTTTAGTGGGCTGTTTCTCCTACGTAAAAACAGTTCCTTATCCCTTCCTTAGAAAATTGGAAGTATAAGTGTAAGTATTTTACCATTTCAAACAAAATATGAAAAATATAGGCTTAGAAGAAAAGATAAGACTTGAGCCATTCTATAATCACTCTGTCATGTTCCTAATATAATTTAGCTGCTAAGGTCATTGTTCTGTTGGGATGTATTGCTGGTACCTGTCATCTAGACTCAGTGAGGGCAGCCATGTAGTGAACTGAGCAGATATCATATTACCCTTGCATGCTGTGTTCTTGTGCTTATGAGATTTATGGAATTGAATCAGCTGGGAAGCAGCCGCCTGCATCAGCAGTATTCCAGAACAGCCAGAAGCAGTATATATGGCCTTGTTTAGGAACCGGTATGATATATAATATATGCTATTTCACACCCCATCAACTCTGTCTTTTTTATGTATACTAAAATTGTACATAATGAATGATTCAACAAATATACAAACATGGCCACCTCTGAAGGTGTCTGACTACTATTAAAGTGATTGTAAACCCTCACCCTGTAAAACAACCTGTTCAGTTTAAAATAGAAATAAAAGGCAAAACATTTGTGTATAGATATAAAAACATTATAAATACCCTTTTTCCCCTTTTGTGATCACATTCCCTCTGTTCTCAGCTCCATAAGAGCTGGGGGAGGAGAAACAGCAATACACTCACCTTCCTAGTGAAAGGCTATGCGGGGGGGGGAGGCAAGCCAGGACCAGTCTGATCATTAGAGGAGAGCACACTGAAATCCCAGCACAGGTAGAGAACTGACTACGGTGTGTTCTCCTGTCTAGTGTGGCCAGTTTTTTAATAGGAAAGCAGAAGGACTTGCAGGAACACCAGGGATTTCACACAAAGGAAGCAATATAGAGAGAGCAGGATACTTTTCATACAAGTACATGGTACAGTAGTCACATATCAGGAATATGAAATGTTGGGTTTACATATTCTTTAATATACTGAGAATTAGCTTTTGAAAATAAGGCTTTACATATTTCACTGTGTGATCAGTAATGGCACAACACCAACAAAGCTCCCCTTTTTTGACAATTAGGATTCTTATCCTGCTGCCTTGTGAAGTGAACCTAATAGGTATTCCGCAGACTCGTGTTATCTTCATGTTATCTTCAAAAAAAAAAATAAAAACACACGTGGACACATGAGTAAGGAATGGAGCCACAAACTGATGCAATTTGTGCAAAGATGGTTCTGGGCAGAATTTGATTTCCATAAACTGGCCGTTCACAGAGTGAATTTCGCTCAGTCTGGACCTGGCATCCTCCCACCCAACATCCTTCAATTGAGAAATCAAAGGAGCCAGAAAGATAACTGTCAGCCGGACAGCGCCTGCATCAGGGGCGGACTGAGCACTCATGGGGCCCCTGGGCAATAGGAAATCATGGGCCCCTGTGTCCTTGCCCACACTCAAATCACACCCAAAAAAGCCTATGAAAGGTACCAGGGGCATCTCATGGGGCCCCCTACTGACCCGAGGGTCCAAATGGTCAGTCCACACCCGGCCTGCATCCAATCAGATGAAGGTACTATTTGGGTATTTTGAAAGATGGCTGTGCTGGCAGTCAGAATACAATAGCTGCAGAGGAAGATTTGTTTATTTGCACTGTTTAGCACAGGCTGAAAAAAATAAATGAATGCCTAGTACACACGATGAGAAAATTGGATGAAAAAAATACAGCTTTCAGAGAGACTATCTGATAATCTGATCATTAGTACACAGCTTTTGAGAGCTGATCACAATAGTTCATGCAAAATTATCTGAAGGGGCAAGCACAACATTTTTTCTCATATGATAACAGAACAAACGTATGACGAGTGACCAAGACCGTGCATGCTCAGAAACGAAATAATACATTACAATACAATGCAGTACAATACATTACATCACTTCCTAAGTTGTATTCTATCATACGAGAATTTTCAGAACTTTAGTAACCTATTCATTTTTGTTATGAGACCAGAATGCAACAAAAACTGAACAATAAGTTGTCTGATTATCTGAGGAGGTCTGTACACATAACACATCAATATCTGGTTGGATGGATGTAGTAGAAAATCTTAAGGTGCTCCTAAGATATTTTGGTTCTAATTTTGCCCTTCGTGTGCAAAAGAAAAAAAAAAAACAGACAATAATTTGTCTGATATTCTCATTGTGCGTACAAGTGTATGGGCAGTTATAAAGCTAGGTTCACACCTATGCAGTTTTTGCGTTTGACCCCTTTCTGCATTGTGTTTTGCATTTTTTAACCCGCATTTTTTGCCGCGTTTTGCATTTTTTAATTTTTCTTGTTGCTCGGCAGATTTAAAATGCAAAACGCATTAAAAACGCAGAAAAAAAAATGCTGCAAAAAAGCACTACATGCTTTTCTCCAGCATTTCCACTGACGTCTATAGAACCAAAAAACGCAACTTTTTGCGTTCAAAAAAGTCCCTGACCCTTTCCAAAAAACACACCAGGTGAAAACACAGAGACGTGAATGTGTCCCATAGGAAATCATGTTAAATGAATTATAGTGTGTTTCTGCAAAATGGAAAATGCTTAGGTGTGAGCCTAGGGTTAGGAGAAGTTTGAAAATGATGATCCAGAAACTTTGCTTTACCTTAATGTGATTTTGTGTTGCAGCAAAACTCTGCAAGCTTCACAGATAAACTTTGGGGTTGAAATTCATTTTTTTTTGTCTTAACGTTTTCCAACGTCTGAGACAGGAGGTAGTCAAAAATGGGTGGAGTTGAGGATTTCTGCCCTTCAGATTATCAGGATCAGCATTTGGTATTCCCAGATAACCTGCAACTTGGCACTTTTAAGGCCTCATGCACACTGGATATACTAAAAAACAGCAGTAGTGTTAGCAGTAGAACGACACGTTAAAAGTGTGTGCTTTGTCGCCTTTTTTTTGTGGTTTTTCAGTGATTCTTAGCAAAACTATACTCCTACAAAAGCTTGTGGCTCAAAAATGCTCACAAATGCCAGACAGCTGTGTTTTCAGTGTTTTTCGTCGTTTTTAAAAAACTCCTTTTCAAACGCAGTAGTTCTGGGATTTTTTTTCTCCAGCCTGAAAACGCCACTGCCAAGAAATGCTGACAAAAGCCTATGTTTGCATGAACACACAGGATAACATATTGGGGAGTTTAATGGCTGTAGAAAAAAAAACACCTGATGCTCAAAACAGCAGCTGTAAAAATGCCCAGTGTGCATGAAGCTTAACCTCTTCACGCCGGCAGCACACAAATGTGCGGCCTCCCGCCATCTGGGCGTAGACGCCGAACGGCCGCACATTTGCGTGCAATTAACAAAAAACATATGTGCTGAGAGCGCTCACCCTGCACGCTCCCAGCACACATGTCTGGTACTCATGCAAAGGTCCTGGTCTGATCTTTCGATCGGTACCTTTCCCGATCATGTGACTGCCGTGATGATGTGCCACGGCGGTCGCATGATCCCTAACCCTGCCCGTCCCGCCTCCTGAAATGCTTAAAGGGCCGGGAGGCACCGGCAGGAAGGGGTTAAGCAGTGGGTCGTCTGCGGCACTATAGTTACCCACTGAAGAAAAAAAACACAAGTGCTGAGCAGGTAGCCTGTGTTCCCTGTATGAATTTCAAAGCTTCATTCTCATTCATGACTGGTGCATACTTTTAAAATTCACCTGTGCATCCTGATTTTTCTCCTAGCCTATGTGACAGTTTTCATAAATAACCCCTGTGTGATGAACAAGAAATAACCAAATACCTTTGGAGGGGTTTCAGATCCTGGGTACTCCCGCTGGTCCAGTGTCTTCCACCTCTGCATTAATTCCGTCACTATTGGAGTATTAAAATCCACCAGCTGGAATCCTGTAACATTGGCTCCGCCATGCATAAACCTGTCAAGCGAAATGTCCTTGATTCCCTAAAAAGAAAAATTCAGAGCTACATTAATTGTTTGTCCGCTTCCTGTGCCAATACCTTGTAGTGACAGGCAACTGCTAAAAGATTAGAAGGTACATGTCATCTGACAAGGAGTTAAGTGCTAGAAAGACAGTAAGCAGAAAGAACAGCGGCACATTTTATATTTTGTGGTTTTGTGAAGTTTCTCATTTATTTTTAATGTACTGCAATGGCAGAAGTCTGACTGAAAGCCACAGGACTGTGGTGTAAAAATTTACAGAGCACTTGTATTAAAATCACTGGGTCCAATTAAAGAGGACCTTTACCCAAAAATAAAAGTTACGCTTCTCATAATCTTCCTCCTCCAACCTGTGACTAAATTGAAGTTCTTTTTTTTTTTGGAAGGTTGAATCTGTTTTATGATGATGCCTGCTTCTACTTCCAGGATGGCAGCACAGAAGATTCAAAGCCCTTAGAGACAAATTGGATCTGTGTAAGACGGTGCTGGGCTTCATGCGCTGGTAGGTATCTTCCTAAAATTCAGCAGCTACAGTATTTGTAGTTGCCAACTGTTAATTTTCACATGCCTTGTGAAGTTCCTCTTTACCTAAAGCAAATTAACGAAAGCAGGGTTCAGGTACTGTTGCAATGTAGGCTTGCATGAGCGCAAGCATGAAAATGAGCAATCCCTGCCACTATCTTGCTGATTGTCCACTGATGCCCAATGTATACAGTGTGGTCCTTGTTTGCTGTGTGCCTTGAGCATCAAAACAATACTGCTTTTGTGCCTTCAGATCTGACAAAGTGCAATCAAAGAGAAATAGGACCAAAGCTCTTTTGGCCTTACTTCTCCTGAGGGTCATAGGAGTGCACTTAGTTCTGCACTTCTGTGACCCATCACTTAGCTGTTCCTGACACTGGAGGGATCCTGACTTTAATATCGGGATCTGCCCAGATTCCTGAGTGGCAGCTGGCTCAGCCTCTCAGAGCGCCTTTGAGAGCTTGAGCCAGATGCTCCCACCCCCTTCACAGCCAGGTGCACCAGCGAGCACTGCGGGGACAGAGCAGAGACTGACAGTCTTCGGCTTTCTGCTCACTGAAGAACTGACCGAGAACTGAGCAATCAGTGGTCCTTGATCACTCAGTTCTCGGTCGTAGAGGTGGCAAGGAACAGATGCAGGATTGCACTGATGCTGCATCCACCTAGGGGAGTATGTCGGTTTGTTATTTTGAAAATAAGCACTTCTCTTTTAAGGAATGTGCGTATCAGATAAGTAATGAAATGCACATGTGCCAACTAAAGCAATGAGTTTTTAAAGCTTGTACATCATACGATCTTTGATATTAGGAACAGAGTACAGAGGAGTATGTAACTTTGGAGACCTGTGTAGCTGCATGTGCACACTTTGATACCCCTAGGACAGTGTGTCTTATGTATTTTTACTTTTTCACTTTACTTTAGTGATATCAGTATTCACTTCATATAGTTGTGTTTCTTCATTAGATGCATATGCTAAGAGCAGTTCAATATACCAAAAAACAATCAGGAAAGATCACATTTTTATTTTAGGTATACAGTAAAAAGATAAAATAAGTGAGCGCTAAAACAATAAAAAGCAGCCAAAGCACCAAAAAGGCAGACCAAAAATCTCCAGAATATTCAAGAAAAACAAAAGGGTGCGGCGCTGGAATCCCTAAAATCAAATTTATGCATACATAAAAAATTGCACTAAACCCAGATGTGGATGTAAAGTGACTAATGTGCACAATGCAAAGATAAAGGTGATATTGGTGAGCACTAGCAATGTGCTAGGTGTTCATAATCATACACAGTCCTAAAAACAGTTCATATAAAGTGCTTAGAAGTGATGATCCGTCTGAGAGGATCTCAGATAAGTGCTCCTTACAAATCCTGGTGACGTGACGTGAAATTGTTAGGAATATGCACTCACCAGATGCGCAACCTTATGCGCATATATGCATATGTAAATCTCAAAGATGTCTGCTTGAAGTCTCCTTTAGAACCGGATTAGCCTGGTCTAGCCACAAACCGTTAAGGATCCCCCTTTCCCTGGGCAGTTTGCAGCACCTAAGGCCTCACTCCGGGACGGGCTCTGTACAGGTATCCGCTCACAGGGTTAAACACTAAAGGTTACTCTATGACCGTCAATGTAGAACCAACAGGACTGGATGTAGCATTATCCACAAAAAGACTTATTCTTGAATGGTGTTCAATAGGATGTTTGAATGGATCTTGTAATAACTGTCACAGATGCGCCATGTATATCTTCTTTCGGTTGCCAAGTTAAAGAGGATAGAGGCACAAGAGGCTTTCCATGTACGGGCGGGCGGATGGACGGACAGACGGAGGTGTCCAGGAAACTGGAAGGAGATTACATGGCGCGTCTGTGACAGTTATTACAAGATCCATTCAAACATCCTATTGAACACCATTCAAGAATAGGTCTTTTTGTGGATAATGCTACATCCAGTCCTGTTGGTTCTACATTGACGGTCATAGAGTAACCTTTATTTAAGGTATGCCACCGCTTAGCTGACTAACATTCAGATACCAGAGTGTACACTAGGCAAACACTCTATAGCAAATACAGTAGGGTACAGTAAATTCATCATATGTACATTGTAACCTGGGTGTGTCAACATGCATCGCAGGCACATACCGTACATTTGTCTGTCCACACACAATTATTGCATCACAGTAGTGAAAAAACCCTGTGCAGAAAACCTACCTATAATTTCCTATAATGGCTGCACAAAAATATGTAACTCATTCTCTGTTTTGCCTGGCAATGTCTCCAAACCTAAATCAATCCTCATTGGAAGAATTCCCCTGTATTGCTCTGCTGGTGGCAACTCAAAATTTAGATCTTCCCTCACTTTCTCTACATTGGAAAGGACAAAACCACTGGCACTATGCTATTAAAATTGGTTGAGATACTAGAACGTCAAATAGACAATGAATTTAAATGCGTGTTACTGTGGAATGTGACATGTGCGTCAGAAAGAAAATATTGGGACTTGTTGCATGAAAGTCACAATGTGCATGCCTCATAATTGAAAAGACTGCATGTTGTTTATGTGCACACATTAAATGCAATAGTAGTCCAAGCAGTAGGTGGGGTAGGACACATAGTTTTATATACAGTTAGGTCCATATTTATAAAGGTTTAGGAATTACAGCTCTTAAGAGTAGCCATCCCCCCTTTTTCAAGGGACCAAAAGTAATTGGACAATTGAATCAAAAGCTGCTTCATGGCCAGGTGTGGGCTACTCCTTTGCTATTTCCTCATCAATTAAGCAGGTAAAGGTTTGGAGTGAATTCTAAGTGTGGTGTTTGCATTTGGACTCTATTGCTGTGAACCTACATCATGTGTTCAAAGGAGCTGTCCATGAAAGGGAAACAGCGTGGCCAAATCAACAGTTTGGTACATTCTGAGGAAAGAAGAACGCACTGGTGAGCTCAGCAACATTTAAAAGGCATGGACGTCCACAGAAGACAACAGTGGCAGATGATTGCAGGATCCTCTCTATGGTAAAGAAAAACCCATTGACAACATCCAGACAAGTGTAGGACACTCTCCAGGAGGTGGACATATCATTGCAAAGTCTACAATCAAGAGAAGACTTCACAAGAGCAAATACAGAGGGTTCACCACAAGGTGATAACCATTCATAAGCCTGAAGAATAGAAAAGCCAGATTAGACCTTGCCAAAAAACATCTAAAAAAACCAGACCAGTTCTGGAAAGGCATTCTTAGGATGGATGAAACAAAGAATTATCTGTACCAGAATGACGAGAAGAAAAAAGTGTGGCGAAGGCTTGGAACAGCTCATGATCCAAAGCACACAACGTCATCTGTACATGGCTTCCAGTGGCACTGAGACATTGGTGTTTATTGATGATGTGACAGAAGACAGAAGCAGCTGGATGAATTCTACAGTGTTTAGAGGATAACTATCAGCCCAGATTCAGCCAAATGCAGCAAAGTTGATTGGATGGCGCTTCACAGTACAGATGGACAATGATCTAAAACACACTGCAAAAGCAACCCAGAAGCTTTTGAAGGTAAAGAAGTGGAATATATTGCAATGGGGCGAGTCAATCACCTGATCTCAACCCAATTGAGCATGCATTTCACTTGCTGAAAGCAAAACTAAAGGCAGAAAGACCCACAAACAAAGAACAACTGAAGACAGCTGCAGTTAGAGCCTGGCAAAGGATCAGAAAGGAGGAATCCAGTCTTTGGTAATGTCCATGGGTTCCAGACTTCAGGCAGTCATTGCCAGTAAAGAATTCTCAGCAAAATATTAAAAATGAACATTTTATTTATAATTATATTAATTTGTCCAATTACTTTTGGTCCTTTGAAAAAGGGGGGGTGGCTACTCTTTAGAGATGTAATTCCTAAACCCTTCCTCCAATTTGGATGTACATACCCTCAAATTAAACCTGAGAGTGTGCACTTTCAGCCCATATCCATTATATAACTATAGTTTGAATATGTTTTGGTAAATACCTGAAAAAAAACTAAAATTGTTCCTGTGTCCAAATATATATGGACCTAACTGTATATGACAAACAACTATATACAGTATAATAATGTTTTTGTACAGCAGTCCCTCGGTTACGAACAAGATAGTTTCTGTAGGTTAGTTCTTAAGTTTAATTTATATATAAGTTGGAACAGGTACATTTTTCAAGTCCAGCCATTAAATTACTTTTACGTTTTGGATAGCATAGGGAAGGTTTAACTAGCCATGCAGTGATGTGGGATTGCTGACAGGTCCACCAGACAGTGGGTGGCAGCATGTGGTGAGCAGCAAGATGGTCGGTGGTTTTGAATTGAATGGTAATAGTATTGTAACAGTACTTTGCATACTTCCTTCTTATTTATGCTTCCTTTGACACTTGATTCTTGCACAGCAGAGTTCATAAACTTCTGGCATTTCGAGAATTCTGCACATTTTTTTAACATTCGACACTTTATTTTAGTTTTAGAC